TTCTGCTAACTTCTACCCCGTGCAAAAAAACCAAAAACAAGCAAAACCCGAAATAATTTTAAAAGCTTGACCTTTTCATTTTCTTCCGTTCTTTTCCTCATTTCCCTCTAGACAACCATTCAACCCGCAGTAAGACATTCTCCCTTCCCCGAGGTCACTTCCCTTTGCAGAAAGGCTTGGACACAAGAGGTGGAAGTCAATTTCCCAGGTCGGTCCACCCACCCTTTTCTTTGAGGAGCTGCCGCGGGGCTGTTTGGATACGGTAACCTGCCCGGGCCGGGAGCGCCCAGGAGGACAGCGCAGGAACAGCTCCGGGAAAGTGAGATGCCAGCAGGCGGGATGGGATTCCCATCCCAGGTAGGGATGGGAATTCACACAGCCGCCGCTGGACTGGGCTCTGGCACCTCTCCTCTCTCCGAGCCAGCCGAGTCAGCTCTACTCGGTTCCATGCCAGTTCCTCTCCCTGCTTAATTTTCCCTCCTCCCAGATCGAGATGGCGTTGGGCAGGTCGAGGAGAGCCTGGTATCCTTCCCCGAAACAGAATAAAAAATGTTCTCGCCGTGGCGCCGACCCCAATGAACACTGGGGGTTTACGGCCGCCTGCCCCTCCATGAGAACCTCGGGCCGATGGAGATGCTCCTGTACCCCCTGTCCCTGCACACACAGGCAGGCACATCCCGGCGCCTGTCCCCACCTGGGTGCACCCCTTGGGCTCCGGCGGCGGCCGGAGGGAACCTGGCTTGTCCAGGCTTCCCCCTTTACCTCCCGGGAAAGGGATGAGATGAACTGTCCTTTGTCTAACGTTGGGTTTGGGCTCTGCGGATTGCTGGCTCGGGGCTTTCCCCCCGCCCCTCGGCTCTCTTCTCCTCCCTTCTGTTTTCCTGGCGGCCACTTCCATGCGGAGCCGGGGCAGCTCGGGGAGCCGAGAGGAGCCACATTCCTGTGGGTGCCGAGCGGCTCCAGGGCTGAGCCACAGGGCCTGACACACACACACACAGACACACAGACGCGCAGACACGCAGACACACATACAGAGCAGCCTGCAGCCCCAGCTGCCCCAGATTGAGAGTTCCTGATACCGCCTGCACCCCTGGGGCCCTCACACCTACAGCAGATCGACCCCTGGCTGCGCTGGCCTCCGGCTGGGGCTCACCCCCACAACACCCACACCCAGGCACACACGTTGCCGACCACCCCCACGTACGGATACGAGGGGAACACCTTCCCACTTCCTCCAAAGAGCCCTCTCTGTCCCTGACCGGCCATCCCCTCACCGCCCGGCAGACAAAGCCTCCAGCCCGCTGGAAAGGGCTGCCTCATAGCGAAGTGCCTCCGTTTCCCTCCCGTTCTGCCTCGGGGAAAGAAAAACCACCCCCTCCAACCTGTCACTGCGGCAGGGCAGCCCGCTCGTCAGGCGTTCCTGTCGCCCTCTTGCTCCCCTCGATCTCCCCGGTGCATTCGCTCCCCCGCGGCCGCGCTGCCTGCGTGGGCCTCCGCGCTCTGCCCGCTCCGCCGCCGGCAGCGCTGTGTCCCCAGAGTGCATCCCACATGTGGCATCGATTAGAGACTTCTGCCACGCAATTTTGCGACTAACAGACTTTAGGTGTTTTGGTTGTGGATTACGGAAAGGAGATCTATTGCTCCAGGAAAATCGGGACGGGGCGGGGGGGAGGGGAGGGATGGGGTGGGAACCCCCTTTCTTGCTTTCAGTCATTTGAGCGATTGCCTGCAGTAATGCAATAACCTGTTTTATAGGTCAGACAAGAGCCGTGAAAAAGGAACCGCGTAGTTTACATTGTCTCCTTTTCTCTCTTGTTTTAGGAAGAAACTGTGTTGCATCAATTAAATATTTCCGCTCTCTGTCCGACTGTGCGTCTGTTTACATGTGATTTGGGGAGGATAAGCAATGGTTTGTCTGCCTGGAATATAGACCCGAGAATGCCCGACACTCACCCACGCCCCGGCTGCCTGTGAGAACACCTTCCACGGACACGACCTTCAAGGTCGCGGGAAAATCTCCCAGCTCCCTCGCCTCCTTATTTCCCTTCAGGTGAGGGCCCGGGGAGCCGACCCCGGCCAGAACCTGCGACAGATTGAGCACCTGGAGAAGGGGAGTCTGGGGATGACTTCTCGCTTCCCTCCCGCTGCCGTCTGCCCCTCGGCACTCCCGGAGAGGCTGTCTAAACCTCAGCATGGCTCAGCCAGCTTCGCCGCGCCGGATCCTGACCCGGCTCTGTGCTCTGTAGTGGCATCGTCTGCCTGCCTGCGAAGCTGACCCTCCATTCAAGGAGATCTTTATGGTCTCCTCGATATGCACCATATGACGCGTTTTATAGGGCTTTTGCCTCGCGTTATCCACTGAGCTTTCCTTTCTTCGTGGTGTTTTTACTAATTCGCATGGAGAAAAGGGTGCAAAGAAAGACTGCGAGGTACCAGGTGCAGCTGCGTCCCGGGAGGGCCAGCAAGGGCCAGGACTGACAGCCCTCCTGCCCACGGGGCCAGCTCCGGGTACTGCCTCACTGCACCCGGGTCCTGCGGGGACCTGCCGGCCCGGCGGTAACGGCGCTTTGATGATTTAGCCCATTAAAAAATGAAGCGGGTTTTTGTACTTCGTGTCCAGGGTTAATAAAAGTTAATCAGGAGTCGAAAGCCAACTAACCCAGTGAGTTAACCTCGCTAGCTGCAGGTAGTCCTGTTAGCCAGGCTCTTTTGGTTAATTAATTACAATTGAGTCGGTTTTGTGATAATTTCCCTAAGGACCCCTGAGGACTAGTCCAGGGGTCCTTTTGCACGGGAGCGCAAGAGGCCTCGGGCTCCACAGCCCGCCGCGGAGAGTGCTCGGCCCCGGCGTCCCGCATTCCGCACTCTTCTCCGCCCGATTCCAAGGCTCCCGAGGCTTCTTGCCCGAAAGTGACGTTCATTCACCTGAGAAGAGGCACACGACAATGGCGAACCCACTTTTGGGGATGGGTGGAGAGCGCGGGGATCCTTCGGGTGCCAGGGAGAGGCTACCGGGAAGAGCCGAACCGAGAGGTGAACTCATGCAAGGCGGGAGTCGAAGCATCAGCCCCTGACTGCACATCAGGCTCGCACTCGTTGAGATTCGGACACGTAACGCTGCAGACCACTGATTTGCTGTTTTCTTAATTCCCGCTCTTCTCATTCCCCATGAATCAAACAGTCTTTTGTCCTTCCGAGTTTGATTTGATCGCTACTGTTCACATTTCACTTTTGTATTTTTCTCTCCCTATACCATTACTCATTGAGTGCCCCGTGAAATTACAATCGTACATTTTCAACTCAGCAACCCATTTGCAGTGCAAAAATAGGGTCTAAATAATGGCTGAATTAGCCCTACTGGACAGTTTCAGATGTAACACTCTGTAATAATTATATTGCAGGCTGGATTAGGATGCTATTATCATAATCTGGACGTTTACAATTATCTGTAATTTGCAAAGATGCGCCAGGTCTTGATTACAGCAGGTTTTTTTTTATCAAGCTAACCATCACTAAACAGTGACAGTAATAACAGCTAATTTTGCTGGCAATATAAGAGGTGCTGGGGTGTGCAAACAATTTCACACCTGGATGTGCTCACTCAACCAAGAATATAGAGAAAGAGCTTCTGCCCTGAGACTCAGAAAAATATTCTCCACTGCTTCTGTTCAGTATAGATTTCTAGACCCCGATCCTTGCTTAGCAGATTTTCACAGGGGTAAGTTTTGGGGTTCGCTTGGGTTTGGGGTTGGTGTGCAACTGCTCCGCGCCTTGCCCATCGAGGCACGCTCATTCTTTACTCGTTCCCCCAATTTCGCGGTCACTCCCACTCCGATGTTTTCCCTCGGTGGCCGGACCCCCGACAGGTCCGCGCCCCCTTCCCTCCGGTGCTGCCGGGGCGGCGGGCGACGCGGGGCGTGGATGCTGCGGGGACCCCCGGCTGCCGGAAGGGAGGCGCGGGATTCGGCGGCCGGCAGAGAAATCGTGCGAGTCCGGGGCCAGACCCGTCCGCCCGTGCCCGCAGCGGGACGGTGGCAGAGCGCCTTTCTGAGCCTTTCCGCGCCTTTCCGCGGCTCCTCCCGGCACCCGTCCCGCGGCCCCGAGGCGGCAGAGCCCGGCGGGCGGGCGGCGGCGGAGCCGGCGCTGGCAGCCCGGCGGCAGCAGGTTTGGCGCTGGCGCGGGGATCTGCCGCTGCTCCATCCATAGATGACGCTGTTTCACGAGAGTCTCCCGGGGCGTCTGCCGCGCGAGTGGGGAGCCGCTGCTGCCATTCGCTCACACCCCGCTCCCGGGAAGGCCTGCCTCTCCCACCTTCTCCCACGCTACGAAGCTAATGGGGCTTTATTATCATTATTATTATTGTGGTGTATTTTTTCGTTTGCTTGCTTGTTGTCTGGGCTTTTTTAAAGTCTATTTGAGAAATCACGCGTGGGGGAGGAGGGCACGACTCACCGAGAGGGTTTCCGCACCGGCACCCACGCGCGCGTGCAGGCGAGGACGAGCGCCTCGCAAGCCCACGAGAAACAGCGAGCCCCCCTCTCCCCCCGCCCCCGTGGGCGGACCGCCCGCTGCCGGGCCCCGCTGCGCGGGTGCAGCGAAAGGGTTAAGGCGGCTGCAGAGGCCGTGGGGGCCGGGGCTCGTCGGGCTGGGCTCGGCTCGGCTGGGCCGGGCTCCCTGGTCTGCGGGACTGGCTCACCAGGGCATCCACCGCCCTCCTGCGGAGCGAGGGCGAGCCCGCACAGGGGCCGGCGTGGGGCGGGGGGTGTGAAGAGGGGTTTTCTGAAAGATGCACACGATGCTGTTGGTTTAAATGTATGGTAGCTTTCTCTCCAGTGTCATTTGAATAATTCAGTAAGCCCCACTACCAGCTGTACTTCTGAAGCCTCTTCCATTCTTTTCAGCATTATAATTTTGGTTAATTTTCAATTTTAGGCCCTACGTCTCTGCAATTTGTGTATGAATAACAGAATAATTTTCCTCTTTTGTTTCGCCTTTCCTGTTCCTGAATCTAAATAAAGATGGCTTTTTAGTATTAAAAGTGGAAGAAAATTACAGGTAATTATCTTTGACGGTAAAAACGCTGTAATCAGCGGGCTACATGAAAAATTACTCTAATTATGGCTGCATTTAAGAGAATGGAAAAAAACCTTCTTGTGGATAAAAACCTTAAATTGTCCCCAATGTCTGCTTCAAATTGGATGGCACTGCAGCTGGAGGCTTTGTTCAGAATTGATCCTGGGGAGCTCTGAACCCAAAGTTTCACAGTGGGAAGGGGAAAAAAAGAAAAGAAAACATTTTTCCTAATGTAACAATACGAATGGTAGAAAATGACAAGACTGATCGGTTTTAAACCACTCTGAAGACTGACTGAGCGTGGAAGTTGCTCAAAAAAAAAACAAAAAAACACCCCCCAAAAAACTGGTATATTGGTAAGTAGTCTTTGCTTTGTGTCTAATTATAGTGACTGTCCTTTTGCACGACTGTATGTAGCTGTCATTATATGGAGCACTCTGAGGATCTCTATTGACTTCTGATAAATGGCTCAGTGGTTTCAAGGTTCATAATTTGAAGGATGCCCAGGTCTCTAGCCATTAATTCTCGCAGTATGGGGCACCCAGCTTGGATGAGGAAAGGGCTTTTCATTGTCAGTAGTTGCTGTGCTTTCCACAAACTGATGCGGCTGGAGCTGGCTGGACAGCGTGTTGTGTGCCTGGGCACCTCTCAGGGCTTTGCAAAGCATTCTTCATCTTGCATTGTCTGCTCTTTAAAAACAAAGGAGGGCGCCTCCTTTCTTAATAATTTGGAGTCTCCAACCTTTGGGGAGAAAGACAGGGCTCTAAGCTTTGCCTCGGCGAGAAAGCTCAGCTCAGCTGAGCAGCGGAGCAGTGAAATCGCAGCAGAAATGGCCGGATGACTAGGAACTTCTTCTAGGCGTATATTTGTGGACTCGGTATCTCCTGTCTTTAAGTCGTAGCCTTAAAACCAACCAAACCACCAGCTACCCCTCCCCTCCCCCACTTCATCTTTTCTTTCTTTGCTCGCAGATATATGCTTTGGTAGGGGTCTCTGTGCACAGGCAAGCGGGGCACAGGGTCCCGCTTCCCGGGTTGAACTGGGGGGGGGGGAAGGTTGGGGGATGTGGGGATCCGCTAAGGTGGAAATATGAGCCAGGCGGGCATTTTGTGGCTTTTACTCTATATATGAAAGAAGACAAAAACATACAAAGTATATGTACAACTAAAATTCAACAATATATACAGAAAGGTTGCTCGGGGAAAGGTCCCTCTCGCTCAGTGGGGGAGGCTGCCGCCGGGCAGCACTGAACCTTCCTTCCCCAGCCCGCAGCTCCGGGTCTGGCTGCGAATCCATCTCTCTGTCTTTCCTTCTCGTCTCCGGGAGTCTGTCCGGCTGTGTGCGGGTGCGGGTCTGTGCGGATGAGGGGGCTCTTCACGTGAGAGACGGTGGTTTCTTCTGAGCCGCAGCCCATTGAATTTTGAGAAAGCATGCAGGTTTTGCTTCTGGTAATGTTCTAATCTTACAGTACATTTTCAGTTTTCAACCAGTTCTTCTTTTTTCCCCTTTTTTTTTTTTTTTTTTTTTTTTTTTAAATCCCTTCTTCTCTCTTTTAATCCTTTCCCCAGTCCGGATTTGGTGAATAAAAATGAAGGAGCTTTGACTAGTCTCTTTCATCATGTAATGTCTTTAGGTCATTAAACAAGTAAAAACGGCTGCCATGGTAGATTCAGGTTCTTGTGGGCAAAGTCTGTAAAAAGTTTTTTTTTACGTATACTCCACCGAGAAAGAGGCTGGTGCCTTGGAGTCCAAAGGAAAATATCCTAAAGAGAAGTGTCTTCTGTGCGCCAGAATGAAAATTGTGTCTTTCTGTTCAAGATCAATCGCTGAGGTTACTTAAAAAAAAAAAAAAAAAAAAAAAAAAAGCCACTGTCTCTTTGCCGCATCTACAAGTTCACACAGAGCCTGTTTGCTGGCACGGCTTGGCAAAGCAGGGGAACTTCTTGCCATGTCGAGACGAGGCGTTCTTGGGAGATTATTTCTCTTGGACAATTCACATCATTTGTGGTCTCTGCATTGTGTCTTGATGTGGAGAAGAATACCAGTGAGAATAGCCAGGCATGTAGCTGTTGGGAGGCATATTGACTCCCTTGGCAGAGGCTGAAACGTCCCAGACTGGAGGCAGAGCTGGAGAGCGAGGGGAGAGGGCAGCGGAGCCGGGCAGAGGGTCGCTCTCGTGGGGGTTACTGCCCTGCTTCAGCAGCTTCTTGAATTTGGAGCGCTTGTTCTGAAACCAGATCTTCACCTGTAAAGCAAAACGCAGCAGATATTAGGCTGCCGTCAGTGCCCAGGGCACAGCAGGGGAGACCCCGGGGTCCGTGGGTCTGCTCCAGAGGTCTTGAGCGCACACGCCAGTCGGGTGTGGAGTTAGGGATAGGGAGGGAAGAAGGAAGGGTAGCTACTGTTGCTCTTGGGCTCTGGATGCCGCTGGAAAGAACAGGGGAGGCAGACCAGAGCTGGAAAGCGAGAGGGATGCAGGTTTTAACCTGGAACGTTGTTTTCTTTGCGCAGGCCAGATTGTTCAAGATGAAACAGACTACATATTCTGAGGTCTCCTGCTTTAGCACCTCATTCAGAATTTTGGAGGTCATTTGATCATTCGGGCAAACTGTTGTCAAACACAGGCAATCATATGATTTTGTGCCAGGATACAGGAGCCAATAGACAAAGGGCATCTTACAAAGAAATCGTGCATCCGAAATCCACACGATCAGATCAAGTGGTCCATGCTGCTGTGACGGGGGAGAAGGCACAATGTAACCAGGGTTGTGGTTTTATTTTAATATATATTTTTAAAGAAATAATCATTTTATTATCTCAGTGAGTAATTGGGTATCAAGATTGCTTTGGGTCTTATCCTGCTCCTAACCCAGCAGAACAGGAGCCTGCACTCAATAAGGTATGCAAGGATCAGGCCCACTGGTAGATCAGAATTATTATAAAGAATATATATACGTATATAGACATATATACAAAACATACTTTTTAAATCAATCAAACAAAGAAAACAAAACCCCATGTGTATTTGACCTCGCAAACTCTGCAGACATAATGTTAGGGGATAAGTAGGGGTGCTTCTTCTACTAGTGTGCTCAGAATCGGGCCCCTAAACCAAGTCTATATGTGTGAGAGAGAAAGCGAGACAACAGTGAGACAGAGTGTGCAAGTTAAGGATACTAAAATCCCATTTGCAAAACCATCAGGTCTATTCCCATCATTAATGTTTGCTGAGTATTTAAAAATCGCTGGCTGGAAGCAACTGTTACCAATGACAATGATAAAATCCCGAAGTTATTTGTTAAGCTCATAAATTCACATGATAACATTTTACCCGATTTGATCCCATCTATCCATGCACTTCTCCACAAACCCCAGCCTGGGAAGCCTGTAATGCCTCACATGTCTTTCAAGTTTAAATTAGCAGATGGCACAGCTATTCCAACCACACTTAACTATGGCTTAACCTGCCATAATTTTGTACACGGCTGTCTTTGATCCTCAGATCTATTATCACCTTCCGTACATTTTGCCCAAGGCTAACCACTGCATTTGCGTTAGTCATCCAGGGTGAATTAACTATTGATTTTACAGGTATTTCCTAACGCGTTCCTGCTTCCCCTCTACCTATATACGTTGCTACCAGGCAGCTTTGCTTTTAGTTCTACCTCAGGCCCAGCGATTCCTTGCCTTTGTTTTGTTCTCCTTTTCACCGCTGGGCAATTGTATCTCGGTGCTGGAATGATCCGAAAATACAGTCAATTTTAAAATGTTATGTGTGGCATCAAAAGGGAGCGCTTGCTCGCCAGACGGCTGAGGGAAAGGCGCTTTCAGCTCCTTCTGAGGTAGCCCGGTCTCTGTCGCACAGTGGGTTTAAGTCCTAGGACATAGAGATGGGGATCGTGTGCGTTACCTTTTCTACCGTTCCCGGCAGAGGTCAAAATGTTTAGAGAACATCATACTTTGCTTGGCCTTTATTGCTCGAGCAGGATTTCAGTGATTTGGGATTCCCAGTAATTACCTGTGTCTGGGTAAGTCCTAATGAAGCTGCCAGTTCAGCTCTCTCTGGAAGTGCCAGGTACTGAGTCTGCTGAAAGCGATGATTTAAAGCCTGGAGTTGTAGACTAGAGTAAATGGTTCGAGGTTTCCGAATCTTTTTCCCTTTTCCATTAAATCTGATTTCACCGTTTTCAATCACTGTGGTTTTTTGCTGATCTGCAAGCAAAACAACACAGCTGAAACATCACCCTCCTTAGCTATTAAACGCGGGTATTTTGGCTGCTACGGCTCCTAGAAACGCCGAAGCCTGTCCCGACGCCTGTTCAACCCCATCGCGTACACACAAGCTCCATCTCCTTAAAGGCACGCGCCGCACAGGCTGCTGCCTAGCTACCGGGAGAAAAAACAGCTGTCCGGGCACAGTGGGCACGCTGCCTTGCCCCCGGGGAGCAAATAATAATAATATTTTTAAAAACTTAAAGCGCGGCTCTGGCTTTGCGAGGGGAAGCCTTGTTCCAGGACCGTCCAGGTTTTACTGAGCTAATTGACTTCGCGTCGCCAGTTTGGTGGTCCGTGAATCACCAGTCCGAGACTTTTAACAATGTTTTTCCCCTCCGCCCCCCCCTACCCCCCCCGTCGTGCCCCTCCGGATGGATACGTATGGCTCCCTGAAAAAAAAAACACAACACAAAACCAAACAAAAAACAATAAAAAACCCAAATCCAAAAAACCACCACAACAAAAACCCCCCAAAAAACCCATAAATCAGACGGCCCCCGAGCGGAATGCGACCCGCTCGCCTGGAAACTTTCACTCCTCAGGTGTTAGCAGGAATTTTGCCTAAAGCCGGTCCCGCCGTAACAAAGGAGCGCCGGTCGCAGCCCCTCGCCGCCGGCCGGGCGGGGAAGGCGCCGGTGCGCTGCACCGCGGTACTGCCGGCAGCCGCCGCCAGCGCGGGGGAGCGGCGGCCCCGCCGCCGGTCCCGCAGCAGTAGGCCCGCGTAGGGGCCGCGGAAACAAGCAAACCCCCACCTTCTATCTGCGGTGCCCCGCGCACCCCAGGGCCGGCCCTTGCCTCGGCGGGAGCCGGGGCACGGCGGGGGTCGTTATGCAGGTGCCCGGGACGGGGGGGCCGGGGAGAGGCCCGGAGATGGAGGGAGCGGGGCGAGGAAGTGGCAGCGGGTTGGGCAAGCGGTGCTGGCTCACCTGCATCGTCCGCCCGCGTCTGGCTGGCCGCGCTGCTGTTGTGGTAGGACTGGAGGTAAGGGCTGTGCTGCGAGTGGCTCACGTAGGGGTAGGCGGCCAGCGAGCGGTGGTTGTAGGAGCCGGCGCTGCCGGAGTAGGGCGAGCTGTGATGGTGA